ACATTATAAAATTTGAAAGTATGTTTATTTGTTTGTTACGTCTTAACATCGTAACAGATCACTATGGAATTTGGTATACACGTACTATATGCGATGGAGAAGGATATAGGCTATTTATTCCACTCAGTAAACATATCCCGGTCGCCCCATTGCTAGCAATACACCCTAACAGGTCGACCTACACGTGGTTCCTCCTGGAAACCATCGTGGTTAATTCTAGTGGAATTATCACTATGGGCTAACTGATCTGCCTTTTCATTCTCACCTATCATCCCTCACTGGTGCCCTACTAGTGTATACCGATAGCGCAGGCGGCGTTACCATTACATTATCATCCATCCAGAAATCATATCCCAGTTGCGCGGATGAAGTAGTGAGTAAGAGCCAGTATAAAATAATTCTTTCAAATACTAATACTGTGTTTCTGTTTGAAGGGTGGGATATGGCGTGAATTTACTGGGTACAGAGGAATAACACCTGAGTCCTCAGGAATGGCAACGCATGGAGGTATCATGGGCGAAACAGTATGTGTGTGTACTGTTATGTCCATGGTTACTGCTCATGTCTATAGGCGACAGTTACCACTTTCCATCAGGTGGGCCATCAGCTTGTTAGCCATTCTAAGTTGTATAAAAAAAAAACTGAAGTTTACTTTTAATCATACATAGGTATTACTACAAAATCTAGTAAAATAATTTATCTAGAAACTATTAAACTTCTGTAATCTAACACGTCGACATGACGAGCAACCATGCGTGTTGGTACAAGTCCTTAGGGAACGGTAAGGTTGTGTTATAAATTTAACAACAAATGTTATAAGTTACCAGAGGGAGACTTTGTACAAAAGTCGATTGCTTGAGTACCTCTGTCCCATTCGTGTTTCAACCGTGAAGCAGTTGTGTTTGCATGGCTGTGTTTCGGTTTGAAGGGTGGGATATGGCGTGAATTTACTGGGTACAGAGGAATAACTTCTGAGTCCTCAGGAATGACAACGCATGGGGGGTATCATGGGCGAAACAGTATACTCTGTTATGTCCATGGTATTGCTCATGTCTATAGGCGACGGTTACCACTTTCCATCAGGTGGGTCGCCAGCTTATTTGCTATTCTAAGTTGTATAAAAAAAAAATAAAGATAAGACAAAATAAGATAAGATAGTTAAAATAAGGTAATTAAGATTAAATGAAATAAAATAAGTAAAGTATGGGAGTAAATCATATTGAATGCAAAGGATCTATTAGATGTCGCACTGCGTATAAAATATAATATAAAATATATAATTGGGCACCTCTGCCTTTTTCAACCGACTTAAAAAAAGGAGGTCCCCAATTCGGTTATATTTCTTTTTCTTATATTTGTTACTTCAAAACTCTGTAAGCTCTAAACCGATTGGATTTTTTATTTGAAAGGATATACTTACAGATTGGTCTCAAAGAAATTAATCAAAAATGGTTTAGTGTTTTTAGATCATAATACCTACTTGACACAATTAGACTCGGCTTTTTTTGTGAGATACAATCTTTAATTATTAAAAAAAATATGGTTCTAAAATATATCTGATATGGTATTGGACTGGTAATATATGGTGGACAAATATATTTTTTTCTAAATATTGAGAAGAAAACGGTCTCGATTATGAAAAATGGCGACCATCGCCATTGGATATAAAAGGCACCATTGATGTCCATAATATATATAGATAGATGTGTAATTTATTCGAATTACTTACATCACACAAATAACAACAGAAATAGATAGACATGCGCAGTGAAAAGAGATAAAAGAATACAAAAAGAAGAAAGAAAAATAGATAAAAGACGTAACTTAATTTTCTTTACGTGCGTGTGCCTTAGCAGCACGAAATGGTCACAACTCAGATTATCGCTTTGCTCTCAAAAGAGAAAGACACTGATATTCTGTTGTAGCCAAAAGCAAATAAATTAACAATAAAAAAAAATATCTATTATTTATATAATATACAATAAGACAACAGCTCATCTAGCAGGTAAATGAAATAGAAAGGCAACTTGGTGGAATATCTAATTTATGTCTTTTCAATCAAGAATTTTTTTAAATTAATATTTTAAGGTGAACCTAGTGGCGATTAGTCGAATAGGAGGTGTCATCGTCGTCATCATATCAGCGTTCAAGTGCCACTGATGAAAATAAGAACCTCCCTTGGGAGGTTTACCAGTAGCTGGACATCCCTCTATTTTATTCCCGCATTTAGGCTTTAGATATGTTTTAAGAGGGACGCTGCTGTCTATTTCTCGCTCTCCGTTAGTCGCCTTTAATATCACCCACGGGAGAGGAAGACGTGGCTTACTCTATGCCGGTATCACACGGAAACAGATAAAAAAAAAACTGATGGAGTCACCATTCAATTTTCAACTAAAAAAACTTTTTTAGTAAGTAAATCTTTTTATGTAACATTTTCGTACATTTGGATTAACAGCGAAATACCACAGTTTACAAGAGCAGCAAAGCCCGTGTAAAGCGTAAACTCCTGGGGGGCGAGGGGGTGGGAATCTACTGTTATCTAATTGCAACGCAACGAATTTAATCAGAAAGAATTAGGAAAAGCAGGAGCTATGTTTGTTCGATAAATGTTGTAAATTGAAAAATTATACCGAAGTTAAACAAAATATTTTACGCGTATTAACAGCACGTTGGAGAATTCAACGAATTTTTTTGATATTCTCAGCTGGTTTATGGGAACGACATTAAATTTAACGACCTTCCGCAGAATCGTTTGCTTGCATAATCATTTCGAGTAGTCACAGGCGCAAAATAAACATGATTTCAGATAAGAAAAATTAATATAAATACATCTAATGTTTAATTAAAGGTGTTTACAGAGACAAATTACAATGCACCCATTATCTTCGACAACATGAATCGATTTTTCTAAATGTCACGCGACAACCTTGCCATGTAGTGGCGAGTCTTAATCGATATATAAAACATTTAAAAATTTATATTAAAATATAGCTGAATATACTTAAAAATATATCAAATAACTGCGAAATTAATTTTGAGATACTAGAGGGAGACTTTCTACAAAAGTCGATTGCTTGGGTACCTCTGTCCCATTCGTGTTGTGCAGTTGTAAAGCAGTTGTGTTTGCATAGTTGTGTTTCGTTTGAAAGGTGGGATATGGCGTGAATTTACTGGGTATGGAGGAATAATACCTGAGTCCTCAAAAATGGCAACGCATGGGGTGTATCATGGGCGAAACAGTATACTCTGTTATGTTCATGGCTATAGGCGACGGTTACATCTGAATGGATATACAGATTGGTAGAAATTTGCTAAAAATCGGTTCAATGGTTTAATTTTTAGATCAAATTTTTAGATTAGGTGTTGTCCCAATTAAAATTGAATTTTTTTTGTGGCACACTCCAATTTAACCTGATTCAACCAATTCCAAACGTGAGCTGAATGTTTAATTTCAAACAAACACGAGTGTTGTCTTTTTTAATTTTTATTCATTTCGACTACTAGCTTTGCTTTTGAACCATTATTTAATAATGTAGAATGAAGATATTCCAATTTTAATTAGCTGCAGAACAGGGATAGGTAGGTTCAAGTCGACACTTACGTTACTACGGTGTTTAACACATAAAAAACTGTACAATTCTTACTTTTATGGGGTGTCTAGTTTTGTATTGTTCGAAAACTAATAAAATTAATTTCCCTGGGCTTGATGATTTTACATAGTGCCAATATTTTATATATTATTTATCAATTGATTTCAATCAGAAGAACGTTCTCAATTCAGTTGCATTTTTTATGTTTGTTACATTATAACTCCGTCAGTTCTAAACCGATTTGGATTTTTTTTATCTGAATGGACTTTGGTACCAAATGTTATAACATTTGATACCAAAGAAGATTTATCAACATCGGTGCAGTAGTTTAGTTCTTATACCAAAATATTTCGTTTTGTCACAATTGAACTCGATTTATTTTCTGGGACACAATTTTTAATTAGTTATGAATATACATTTTCTAAAATAACTAAAGAAAAAATAATAAATTTAGATACTACACAGATCGATGACACTTCGAACAAAAACCTTTGTATGAACTCTATGTAGTATATTTTATAATTTTAAAATATAAAGCAGCTAGGTGTCTTATGATATCTATCGATATTTAAGATAGAGGCGTACATATGTTGATAGTTATACAACATGGTGGATATGATTTATGTTACTGTGTTAAAACTCCTGCATGATTGCATAGATTTACCTTTCGTTTATTGTCGTTATAAGGGTAGTGCCGACTCTTGAATACGTATTGATTACTTTTTTTATGATACCTTTTGTAAGATTATTATTAGAAAAAAATATAATTAGGTTAACATAGGTACTACGTTTTGAACGTTTTTGGAATAGCAATAACTTCTAAAGGAGTTACTTTTTAGAAGCATAATAAATTTAATTACCTATTTATTATAATAAAATATTTTGTCATTCATTAATTTAAAAAAACTGAATGATAATAAGATATACATACATTTAATATGTGTTTTAATAAATTAATTTTTAAATATCATTGTGAAATCTATCTTTATTTACGTGGTATTGAAAATGAATACCATTATTTTCCGTTTTGGTAACTTATCTAATAAATATATAAGTAATTTTACGTTATGATTATTATTAAATGTTTTAAGTATATGACTTCTAATTTAACGCCGTAGTTTTAATTACGTGTGTATATAATTTTTTTTTGCTCTTTGTCAACATTATTGTTGGACTTTATTATTTTTTTTAAGCGAAAAATCTGTCAATTTTAATCCATGAATGTAGTTTTTGGCAAATCAATTTATTCGTATATACCTAAAATAGATTATTTTTTATTTTTCCCTATTTTTTACCATTGCACCTGTATATTTTTTATTAATTATATAATTTACTCCGCAATCCCGCTGAAAACAATGTCGAGACAGTGGTTCGTATTGTGAATATATCGTAATTATTGTATCTACTTACCTCGATGTATCTCGTCGTAAACTTTTGACGGGCCGAGACGAGATCTCGACTTGGTATACGGGTGCTTACTGGCCGCACTCAGAGGGCTGCAGCCTTAAATACTAGTTGTTTAGGGGTGGCGCCAGCGCGCGCATGTCACTTCACACTCCTCCCCCTTTTGAGAGGAAAGTTGTGTGACGTCACATGTGACGTCACGTCATTTTTGTCATCGCCTATCGAGTTGAAAGGTCAAAGCTGCAAGACGCGGTACGTATGTCTTAAATAATTTAATTTTATAAACTGTAAAGGCCATCAGCGGTTAACAGAAAATGCGGTATGAAAAAAAAAACACATAAGAAAGTTGAGGTATAGAGAGCGGTTTTAGTCGGTTTTTTTAAGGAACTTAATTTTTTGGAACACAAATTAGTGTTCAGAAGTAAATAGACTTGAATTTATAATAGTATTTTATTCCTATAAAGTTATTACCTATCTCATAGACTGCCATAAAGGATGGTCCAGAGCTCCTTGCATTCAATTGCTGTAATACATTTGAAGTCGCGTCTAGTGCACATACGAAATTTCCTTTCCCTTCACTTGATGGTTCTTCAAGCTATATAGACGGGAAATTGTTACTATAGCTTGCTTACCTTTTTTTCGTTTTATCGGTCATTTGATGAGTGGTGGTAGACATCATGATGGAAAATGATAACGGCTGATATGATGATAATTATGATGATGATGATGATGAAGATGTCTAAATATTTACCATATTTGACCATATTTATATAAAAAGGCAAATAAGGAATTATCTATATATTCAAAAACTAAACATATATGCAAAAGAATTGTTAGTGATTGGCTATTAAGTAAGACATATGATGAAACTGAAGATTTGTTATTAGTAGTATGTTAGTTAAAATAACTCATCCATTCCATACATTCACAAATTACACAGTCAAGATTTCATTTACAAAATATTATTTGGGCAAATTAAATTATTACTGTATTAGTACCTTAACTTGTACTGTCTTTTTTTTTGTGTAATTTTGTGTCATTATGCCGTATAAGGAGGAGCTTATCCTAAAGTACAGGATTTACCTATTTAGAGAGCAGAGTTTTACCTATATTTAAAATGTAATATTTATTTTGAAATAAATTATTATTATTATTACTCTCGGGACTTAAATGAAAAATTTTTACAAGTAAAATAGTACCTACATTAAAAATATATATATATATATATATATATATATATATAATTTTACTATCATTTAACACTGTTAACTGCTGACCACAGATCTCCTTCATAAGTGGAGTTTTGCCAGTAATTTGCTACGCTTGGCAGGTGGGTTTTATTTGATGGTTGAAAATGGAATGGTAACCCCGCCTGAGCTAACGGGATACGCTGGCGGAGCACCAGTGAAGGGTGATAGATGAGAATGACAACAGGCCAGTTAGCCCATCATGATGAATTCATCAGGAATTAACCATGATAGTTTCCAGGAAGAACCGCGAGGAGGTCGACCTGGTTGGGTATATTGCTAGCAATGGGATTTTTAGTCTCCATTACTAACAATCCCTTTCCCCCCAATAAGTCCCATGTTCGATATAATAATATGTCAAGCATCATTAAGGTACAATGTCTAATATATAAAATTCTCGTGTCGCGGTGTTTGTTACCAAACTCCTCCGAAACAGCTTTACTGATTTTTATGAAATTTTGTACGCATATCGGGTAGGTCTGAGAATCGGCCAACATCTGTTTTTCATATCCCTCAATGATAAGGGTGACCCACCTCTAAATATTTTATTTTTATTTTTTTGAGAATTTTTTCTATTTTTTTATTTTGACTTAGCATTGAAAAATACATACAAATTAAAATTTTCACGCTTTTACGATCAACGCCTGTTTTTTAATAGCGATTTTAATATTCCGCAATAGGGTTGCAAGATAACGATCGAATATAATATTGTTTTAGGATAATTTTTCATGTATAGTTCTCGAAATAATGTATATGGTAAAACAACGTTTGCCGAGTCAGCTAGTTTTACTAATTATTAGCAGTTAGTTTTAATAATTAAGGTTAATAGATTGTAGCTACTATTTTGGGTTAAGAAATTGGGTCAGTATTAATTACTATTACATATTGGAAATACGTTTTTTTGTCAACATATGTATATTCTATGAATATAATTTTTTACGTTCATTCATTCTGCCAATCAAACACGCGCCGATGGTTTATGAGTTAGTAATAAACATATCCATTACCATGACGGTACAGTCAGTCGTTCAGCGATCGTAAAGTTAACTATTTAATACGGGGCGAGGGATAACTGTAACATGTGAATACAGGGTATGAAGTAATTAGTTGTATTTAGAATTGAATAGATATAGTCGCCCTGCGAGCTGTGGAGACGACTACCCTCGGAGTTTCCGACGTGAAAGACTTCAAAATAGGGGTGCCTGCAGAAGAATCAACGTGGTTGATAAAAGTTCAAAGTGAAAATGAGTTGCAGGCCATGTAGCTTGAAAAACAGTCGTGAAATATTTTTTTTTATACAGCTTAGATTGGCAAACAAGCTGACGGCCCACCTGATGGAAAGTGGTAACCGTCGCCTATAGACATGAGCAGTACCATGGACATAATAGAGTATACTGTTTCGTTCATGATACCTCCCATGCGTTGCCATTCTTGAGGACTCAGGTGTTATTCCTCTGTACCCAGTAAATTCACGCCATATCCCACCCTTCAAACCGAAACACAGTCATGCAAACACAACTGCTTCACGGTAGAAACACGAATGGGACAGAGGTACCCAAGCAATCGTCTTTTGTACAAAGTCTCCCTCTGGGAAATATATAAATGTCGTGTAGAGTGTCGAGTCCAGGGAGTAAATGGATGCAGGAGACTCAGAACTATTCTTTATGACAATTTATGAGACCAGCAGTGGACAATTGAAGTTTAAAAATGATGGAAATGATGACATAACCATATGTTTTAATTTAGTTATTAGCTTCGCAAAATATGTGACAAAACGTATATTAATAAACAAGCCGAGTAGAAGTCGGACTCGTATATCGAGCGATATTACAAATTATAATTTGAAATAAATTTTGAATTTTTTTGAGATGCAACTTTAAATTTAGCATTTCCGAATTTTCCCTTTTCTTGTGCTGTACGACATTGTTTCTTGTCAAACTTCATGATTCTAGTTCAACGGAAGATACCCTTACGTTTTGATTCCCTTGCAAATGTTAAAACATACGTTACAGGCGATCGTATCTTTTGATTTCGTCGACTTACAAGTTACAAACCCCTGTAGTCATGAAAAAGCATTTCACACCTTCAGGAGATTAGAGAGGTCTTGACAGATGGACAGACAGACGGACAAAAAGTGGTCTTATAATAATAATATATAATACATAGATAAGTATGAAAATCATCAATTGGCGTAGAAACATTATATTTATTACTCCTACAAGCATTATAAATTCAAAAGTTTGTAAGGACGGATGGATGTATATCTGTTACTTTTTCACGCAAAAATTACTGAATGGATTTGAATGAAATTCAAATACAGGGTACTTTATGTACTGATTCACGCGAGCAAAGCCTTGCGAAACAGATAGTATAATATATAATAGTAAGTAATACGTAACATTAAATTGTTAATATTCAAATAAATAAAAAATGCAAGCGAATTGAGAACTTTCGCTTAAAGTAACTTTCGCTTAGTAACGTTTATTAATATCTAATCAAACCATTTAGGGGGGAAAGGGATTGATAGTAATGCGGACTACCAGTCCCATTGCTAGCAATATACCCTGTCAGGTCAACCTCCATGTGGGCCCCCCTGGAAACCATTGTGCTGAATTCCAGGTGTATTCATAACGGTGAGCTAACTGACCTGCTTTCATCGTCACCTGTCACCCCTCACTGGTGCCCCGCCAGCGTATACCGTTAGAGCAGGCGGGGTACCATTCCATTATCATTTATAGAAAAAAAAAGAAAAAGAAAGAAAAAGAAGAGACTTTGTACGAAAGTCGATTGCTTGGGTACCTCTGTCCCATTCGTGTTTCAACTGTGAAGCAGTTGTGTTTGCATGGCTGTGTTTCGGTTTGAAGGGTGGGATATGGCGTGAATTTACAGGGTATAGTGGAACACCAGACCAATAACACCTGAGTCCTCAGGAATGGCAACGCATGGGGGGTATCATGGGCGAAACAGTGTACTCTGTTATGTCCATGGTACTGCTCATGTCTATAGGCGACGGTTACCACTTTCCATCAAGTGGGTCGTCAGCTTGTTTGTCATTCTAAGTTGTATATAAAAAAACAAACCATTTTATTAGGACACGCTGTATAACCAGACGTGTGGAATAAACCGCAAGTAAAAACTGTCATTCAGGAATATGTAGTGACGTCCCTAATTGGTGGCACTTGACTGTTAGTTTTACGGCCGCCAACACCGATACTTGGAGCTTAGTAATAAATTTTACACAACCGAACAATGGCTTATGCTTGGCGCCATCTATGAGCTCCTTTTGATTAGTATACGGCGTCATAGCCGATGCATCGGTGCAGTTAAATATCCTAGCAGGAGCTAATAAAGGGATTATTGTGTAATATTATTAAACTTGTTGTTAATCTAGTATTTTATAAAATTAAAGTTATAAAATTAAATGTTTATTTAAAAAAAAAAACTTGATTTTTTCTCTATTCTACTCAGCTGAAATTGTAAGTGGGCGGTAAAATTATTTCGAAAAAGCTTAAAATTAGGTTAAGTTTGTATAAATAAAAAATATTTTTGTTTCAAAATCATATAATGCGTAGGGTGTACAGATTAAAGATAGTATCTGCGGTGTAAGACAGCGATTGAGAGGCGAAATGATTTGACATATTTTTAAATGGTCATGAAATAATAGAATGCAGCCAATGTTAAAAATATTTTACTCTGAAAAATAAACTTCTCTGATTATATATGTATATATATATATATCTGTATCTGTGTATATACGTATATATGTATATATAGGTATATACATATTTTGCATGTAAGAGTCATATTCAATCCGTGTATCTGTACTATAATATTTTTATGTATGATCCACCTAATTATTTTACAAAATTATTTTTATAAATAGTATAACAATAAGGGTTTATTTCGAGTTTCTCCTCATCGCATTTAATAATCATTGTTTAGTTCCCTTAATCATATTTTACAATAACCTGGTGATGAAAAAATTAAATTATTTATTCGTGCTACATTATCAAAACGCAATTCTATTAATCACTTTTTTAGAATACATCAGACGTCGAAGACGTAATATCTGCTGGTTTCTCATAGAAACTAATGAGAAACTCAGTACTCTTATTCTATTTTTAAATAAGTAATATTTTTATTTACTGTCTGAGAGTACCGAATTAACTTATAACAATATTAGAAGCGTAATGGAAATACCTAGATCAAAGGAAGGACCTCTCTAATAAACTTATTGGCCGCTCAGTCCATTTTCAGACTAAATAAAAACATTGTTCTAGTTATATTAGTAATGAGAGTGATAACTAAGTGAGCGGTGCGTATACATATTACATGTGACAACACAAACACATGTTTTGTTGACCGGACAAATTGGAGCAATCGTCTGTCCACACACACCATACACACACCCACGCATACTAGTTTGTGCTTAGCACGAATTTACGGACGCATGTGGAATTTACAAGTAGGCTATAATGCTCTATTCCTATTAGGGTTGTCAAGTCGACGATTACTTTTAAATCGAGTTGATTTTTAAAGAAATTAGAAATAAAAGTTTCTAAGCAACTGTCGTCTAGCAATATGTTTAAAATCGTCGCTTCATTTTTGCCTGTATGACGTCACTGTTTATGAATCTATCTTCGTGTTTGACAGCCCTATTGTTAGCAATATGCCTTATTAGGTCGACCTCCACTTGGTTTCCCCTGGAAACCATCGTGAACAATTCTTGTTGAATTCGTCACGATGGGCTAACTGACCTGCTTCATCCTCACCTATCACCACCTCACTGGTGCCCCTCCGGTGTATACCGATAGCGCGGGTGGGGTTATCATTCCATTATCATCCATTAAAAAAAAAAAACTGGGCTGTCTCTGTAACAGTCTACTTATCTCTCATCTTATTTATAGATATAGATTATTGACGATCTCCTATCATCACGTAACACTTATCGAACTAAGATATAAGATGGTCTTGTGATTAAATCATACTTATCAGATACTTAACTCACTCACAGAACTAAGTGCAGAATAATCCAGTTTATTTAAGTTACACCATGGTCATATCCTGAGCTCACCACCACCACTACCAGTTTTGTTTATTTATAAGCGAAAGTATTTTCAGTTCCAAGTGTCACTTGAAAATTGCGTTTTAAATGGGCACGTGAGGTGAAAAAGAGATTGTTAGTAATGGAGACTAAGAATCCCATTGCTACCGATACGGGGAACTCGATGGGGGGAAAGGGATTGTTAGTAATGGAGACTGAGAATCCTATTGCTAGCAATATACCCAACCAGGTCGACCTCCACGCGGTTCCACCTGGAAACTATCGTGGTTAATTCCTGATGAATTCATCATGATGGGCTAACTGGCCTGTTTTCATCCTCATCGATCTTCTTCACTGGTGCCATGCCAGCGTATACCGTTAGCGCAGGCGGGGTTACCATACCATTTTCATCTATCAAAAAAAATGGGCACACGACTTTCTTCACTCACTCTTTATATTTTAATTTGTTAAATAAGTATTTATAGGCAGGCGGCCGGTCGTAAAACTAAAAGTCAAATCTTTTTGTAATATAGATAAAATCATATTACGCCGACCCAAATAATAATTGGGATAAGGGCAGGATGGTGATGATGAAGTACCTATACGATTTGTAAAAAAACAATTAATGTTGAATGTTGGTAAAAAAACATAAAACCTAACTGATGGTAAATGAGAGGGTGTAACCGTACAGTGTATTAAATTATTCATCCTTATCAGCTTTTAACTGTCCACTGCTGGACATAAGCTTCCTCCTAGGGTTTTGTCAGCAGTTGCCATATTTGGCAAGCGGATTGGCAACCGCAGTTAGGCTTGAAGATGTTTTAAGAGGGACGCTGCTGTTCATCTCTCGTTCTCCCTTAGTCGCCTCTTACGACACCCACGGGAAAGGGAGGGTTGGCCCATTCTGTGCCGGGACCACACTGAGAATTAAATATTTATATTAAAAAAATACTTTTAAAAAGATTAAAGATTTTATAGATAGACTGTACTAATGTTTTTATTTTTATTGTTATATAAAATAAAATGAATTATAACAAAACATATGTACTTATATCGGCTGCTGTAATGTTGCAGTGTCATCAGAAATCGCCACACCGCAGGAAGTGGTGGGAGCCGCGGAGTACGCGTTCACAGCACGACCAGACAGTCAAATAAAGAAGTATACTCGTATTAGGGACGCTAAAGATTTCTCCAGTCTCCCAGATAAGTCTAAAGAGGTAAGCAATCATTAAATGGTATATTTAATGAACAGGTCTCAATAATAACAAAGCACGTTGACGAATCAAGAGATGTATCGCAGCTTTTTGCTTCGTAACAAGGATTTTTTTTTTCGTAAGCAATAGTGGCAGTTTCAGTCACTATAAAATGAATTTGGGGCCAACACGGAAATAAATTTTACCGATTTTAAAAAAGAATTATGAAAATCCTTTCAGTATATAATCGTGAAACAGAAAGAAAAAAGGAATAATTGATTTTATTCAAATAAACCTAGATTTAAGCATTTTTGAATAGTTATTTTTCGTTACCGCCTATTCGGAATGTCATTATAGCCAAGAAGGCTCAGCTGTTGCTTTTTTCAAAAAATTCAACTATATAAATTATGAATTTTTATAAATAAATAAAGCTTGGTAGTTTACCAAGCAATATCAGATCATTAAATTTAAAATATATATAATTATAACAAAAAAAAATCGGATGCAGTGACCAGAGCAGACTAGTCCCTACAGGCGGCACCCGTTCACGAGTATGACGGGTGAGCCAGCCAACATATTTTAGGGAACTCAATAACCCGGCTCACCGCGCCACCTCCTATCTAAACATTTTGGTATGCATGACTTACTCAAGTCCCCAACCACGTCATAGAGGCAAACATCTAACAAATTGAGGATCTTCTTTTGGAAGTGATTTAAAAAGTCTTGTATATAAGTACCTTTTGCACCATTTATGTTTTTTTATGAATGTTTAAATAACATAAATGGTGCAAAGCAAGCTGACTTATATTGTGGTGTTTCTAAAGTCTTGTTAGTCATTAAAAAACTAAAGTTGTAAACTTTTACGTTATAAATCATCATCATCGGGTTCACCATATCATTATCATCTATTAAAAAAAAAATTACGTACTGAATGGTATTTAGATATGATTTGTTTCAGCCTCAGAGCAACTTCACATGGCCAGAGGTATCACGCTACGATGGTGAGGACGGCCGTCGCCTGTACATAGTGGTGGACTGCGCCGTGTACGACATCACTGATTTCGGCGACTTGGTAAATGTACTCACATCTATTTGTCTCTTTCTCGCATTTAGATTTTGAACTAGCGAATGAAAAGCTATACTACATTTCCATAAAGTGTATCCACAAAAAAATCAGCAATACCTATTCAAACCACTCCTTATTGAATCTATACCTTGCAAGAAGCAAGTGGTTTTCTGGCGAAATACTGATTGGTTTTGCTTTATAATATCCGAAATACCAGAGGGGGATTTTGTACAATAGTCGATTGCTTGGGTACCTCTGTCCCATTAGTGTTTCAACCGTGAAGCAGTTGTGTTTGCATGGCTGTGTTTCGGTTTCAAGGGTGGGATATGGCGTGAATTTACTGGGTACAGAGGAATAACACCTGAGTCCTCAGGAATGGCAACGCATGGGGGGTATCATGGGCGAAACAGTATACTCTGTTATGTCCATAGTACTGCTCATGTCTATAGGTGACGGTTACCACTTTCCATCAGGTCCGTCAGCATGTTTGCCATTCTAAGTTGAATAAAAAAAAAATACCAAAAGTCTGACAGAGTTTTTATTTTTTTATTTTTTTTTATGCAACTTAGAATGACAAACAAGCTGACGGCCCACCTTATGGAAAGTGATAACCGTCGCCTATAGACATGAGCAGTACCATGGACATAACAGAGTATACTGTTTCGCCCATGAAACACCACAAGCTTGTTTGCCACCTCAGTGGTTTTAAAAAAAGTGTCATCGACTAATATACAGTCATGAGACGAGTTATGAAGCAAAAATGTATATTAAGAGAGATCTTTGGCATTCAGTTTATACTGTCTACCCCGCAAGGAACTTGACGTGAAGATAGATAAATATTTACCAGTTGTTTTTTCATTATTTTCACAAGGTCCGTTTTTGAAAAGTTATTTTTGTGTTCGTAGCACCCTGCTGGTCCCGAAGTCCTGAAGAAGCATGCTGGCCAGGACGCGACGGCAGCCATGCGTGCCACCAACATGCCCAGCATCGTCTACTCGCATTACATCAATAGGTTCCAAGTCGGTTACATTGTAAGTTACCGATTATATGTTCCTACATATATAACATACATAACAGAGTATACTGTTTCGCCCATGATACTCCCCATGCGTTGCCAGAGGACTCAGGTGCTATTCCTCTGTACCCTGTAAATTCATGTCATATCCCACCCTTCAAACCGAAACACAGCCATGCAAACACAACTGCTTCACGGTGTAAACACGAATGGGACAGAGGTACTCAAGCAAACGACTTTTGTACAAAATCTCCCTCTGGTATATATTTTGCATCTCATAAAACAGCGACTTTAATTTTCTTTCAAACAGCGTAGAATGTCAAATATGTTAATAGCGTTCTTGATGAAAAGATAAACCTCACTTATCAATATGAATACACGTCACAGAATATACTGTGACACCCTTGGTACCTTTTATGCGTTGTCATTCCTAGAGACTATGGTGTTATGCTTCCGTAATTTTTAATTCCTTTGCCATATCTCAGACTATAGCTTCCACCCTACAGCTATACCCCACTGCTGTTGCAGAAATACAATTGGTACAGAGGTATTTAATCAGATGACATTTGTACAAAATCTCCATCTAAAAGTCTTGGCATAAAGCATCGACGTTGAAACCTAAAAGGAATTAAAACAATTGGTATGTCGCCACGCCTGGACCGATTTTGATAATATTTTCTGCTATCGATGAATTTTATTTTCATACTGGTCTCATATTAATTTTGTGACGCTTGCAACTGCCTTTCTTAGCGGAGTAAAACAACAGAGTATATCTAGTCTATTGACGAATCCGTCCTGTCTAAATACATTCTATTTTTGCAGAGCAAAATATGCTTGTGTGGTAAAAAAAAAATAAAAATAGAAATTTTTAATTATGTATTATTTATTTGCAGGTCGATCCAAATTCAGAGAATAGGACTTGTCAACCGAAAGAAGATTTAAAAAATGAATAGAATAAATTCTGCGAACGTTCGTTAATAAAGGAACGCAAACATTTGCAAATTAGTGTGCCTATATTTTTAATATAATATTAATTAATATTTACAATTAATATGTATATGTATAAATAGCATCAAATAATTTTAGATAGAAAAATTAAATTTATTTTATTTTTTGTTTGACGACAATAAAATATGACGATAAAAAAAATAATAAAAAAAATATCATGTAATGTCTGTCGGTTTATTTACCTATCGTGTTTTCCTATACCTATTTCTTTATAATTGTAATTGCCTTTTTGTTATCAATAAAGTTAACTTCCGTATTTGCTTCCATTTTAATTACGTAATGTAAATAATATAAAAATAAAACAATAGGTAATTTACTTTTATGTTTCAAGCTACTTCTCACGAGCTTTAATTATTTGTAGATAAAAACCTTAATTTATTTATTAATATTTACCAACTTGACAGTTTCCCAATTCGCTCCCTTAGCAAACACATTTATATATATATATATATATATATATATATATATATATATATATATATATATATATATATTCAAATATAATAACATTTATTTTTTGGACATTTTCCAAATAACTTATAGTCATTCTGCGAAATTCGACAAGTTTACAAGTAAATATATCCAAGTCCATATACTGGCATATTCATTCCATGATTTCTCTTCCAGAAATAATTAAAAAATAATGTCCCACAAAAAAAAAACAACTTCAATTGTGAAAAAATCAAAAGATTTAAAAACTAAACTACTGAACTGATTTTGAAAAAATTTTTATGGAACCAAACTGTAAGATAAGAAATAAGAAAAAGCAAAGAAAGAAAAAGAAAAAGAAAAGATAAGAAACAAATTTTCCTAACCGGTTCATAACTGACGGAGGTATAAGATAGCAAATATGAAAAAAAAATTCAAATGAATTGCTTTACCTATAGAAATGTTCTTTCAGATGAAAGAAGAATGTTCCAAATCACCTTATATGACGGAGTTAAGAGGTTTCTTTTTATTGGTGATAATGAAATAGTAACCCCACCCGCACTATCGGTATACACCGGCGGGGCATCAGTGAAGGATAGTAGGTGAGGATGAAACAGATCAGTTAGCCCAACAAAAATTGTTCACGATGGTTTCCAGGTCGATGGTTACCATATCAGGTCGATTTCCACGTGGTTCCCCGTGGAGATCGACCTGATATGATATTGCTAGCAATGGGGCTTGTCAAACTCTATTGCTAACAATCCATTTCCCGCCGGAGTTAAGAGGTAGCAATCAAAAAATACATTCGAATTGAGAACCTCTTTCTTTTTTGAAGTCGGTTAAATCGGAATTATTAGCAACCTTTCTATTAGCAAAGTATTCTATTAAACATAATAAATATAGGTGATTACTAAAGCAACACGAGCCGAAATCGACAAAAAAAAAATCAACTAATCGACAAAAATCGACCAAAAACTCTTAATATGGCCATTGGCACTTTTAACGTTCAAGTTAATATGACAGGCGCTTGCCTTTTTTATTTGTCAATTCATGTTATTTTAGGAATATTGTTTAGTTTTATTGGTATAAAATTCCCATTTAAATACATTACATAAAATTATTTCCAATCACTCCAATGTTTACATGTTAATCTTTATTGGAAGTGATCTCGAATTCTACCCGACGATGACGATGACGTCAGCGAACGTAAATCAACAATGCCCTAGTTTAATCATCATTACACATAATAATGTTTCCAGCGCGATAATTTCTATAGTATAATATATTATCATATATGACATTACAATGTCTCGCTCAATATATTTACTGATTGTAATCTAAAACGTGCTGTTGATAAAATACTCATGCAAATCCAAGCTGTGTAACTATATATATATATGTAATATTGTAATATTATAGTAAATATTCCCAAAGAGGGTTGACGTCAGGCAGATTGTAAAACTAAAAACAAAATCTTTTTGTAATATGGATAAAATCATATTACGCCGACCCCAAATGATTGGGACAAGGGTAGGAAGATGATGGTATACTTTATGTAATATAATTCTATACGTTCGCCACTTCAAGACCGATTTCGACAATTCTTTTGACTTTTTTTCATCCTCACCTAACACCCCTTACTGGCCTTACTGGTGCCCCGCCAGTGTATACCGTTCGCGCAAGCAGGGTTACCATTCCATTATCATCCATTGAAAAAAAAACTTATCAACGGATTCCTTAGTACGAATATTTTTTTTTAACACTTAATATTGAAAATTATAATAAATGTAAATAAATATTAGGACGTACTGTGTGAAAAAGAACTGCGTCTAGAATCAGATATAATTAATATGGTGTATCACAAATAAAAGACTCTTCAAAAACAAAACCAGTCGTTTTCAGTTTAAAACTAAACTATGAACAAATTTAAAAAAAACTTCTATCTGTAAGTATATAAAAAAAAATTCACATAAAAGAAAAAGAATTTTCCATATCCGTTTACAACTGAATTAGTTATTAGGTAACAAATATAAAAAAAATACAGCCAAATCGAAAACTACTTTCTTTTTAAGTAGGTTAAAAATGTAATCGAGTACAACAGTCAGGATACAGAGGAATAACACCAGAGTCCTCAGGAATGGCAACGCGTGGGAGGTATCATGGGCGAAACAGTATACTTTGTTACGTCCATGATACTGCTCATGTCTATAGGCGACGGTTACCAATTTCCATCAGGTGGGCCGTCAGCTTGTTTGCCATTCTAAGTAGTATAAAAAAAAATAGTTCAAATGAAATTGGAATTTCCTCCTTTGGAGGCGACGGTGAAAGTACGGGCAGATCTGGGATGAGTGTCGCGTATTCGCCAATTACGATAAGGATGATAAGCGTGAGTTATCGGCTCGTCACCCGCGACCGCCGATAGTGGCGTACGTGCTGCGCGGCCACACGCTCGCCACCGTCGCCACCGACGCCATCGCACACCACCATCGTCAACGTCAACGTAAGGTTTGTAGCATATTTAATAATAATAATAATAAATCATTTATTCAGCTGCAAAACAACAATATTAATGACAAGTTTGTACGTTAAAATAATAATTCTGTGGTAGCAGCTGAAATGGTCCCCACTCAGCGTAAGCTGCAGCGTGGTGCTGCAGCGCTGATTTAATTTAACTGATATTATAAATGAGACATTGAGTTTGTTTGTTTGTTACACTTTCACGTCCGTAAACCGCTGATTCGATAATGATGAATTTTAGTATAGAGACAGATGGGGCCCCGGAGACGACTGTGCACCATATTTCATTCAAATCCATTCAGTAGTTTTTGTGCAAAATAGTAACAGCTATCCTTACAAATTTTTGTATTTATATTTTTGTTATTATTAGCAATTTGGCCAGATAAAATTTTTGGGCAGATAGAATTTGAAAAAATATCATATAGTCTTTGTTATTCGCTGATCACGAAGTTTTGTATAGGCGAAAGACTTTTTGAAATCCGTTGTGTAGTTTTTAAGTTTATCTATTACAATTAAATAAATAATAAATTAAATAAATAAATAATCTAATCTTTCCATTTTATTATATTAGCATAAATAATATGTTTATTACAAGTCATTGTGTTTCCATTTAAGTGTCTTAATGTTTCTGACTACCGCTTGTAGGATTACAGTCGTGAGTATATCGATGTAATTCGACGGACGGGGAATATTTGCACAAAAGTATCTCTGCCTTTTTTGTGAGTGGGGGACATTGCATTGAAATTATGGAGCGGTCCCTTTTTTTAATGGATGATAATGGATTAGTAATCCCGCCTGCGCTAATGGTATACGCTGGCGGGGCATCAGTGAGGGATGATAGGTGGGAATGGAAAGACAGGTCAGTTAGCCCATCGTGACGAATACATCTGGAATTTAGCACGATGGTTTCCAATAGTGACAACGGAGTAGTTGACCTGTCAGGGTCAATTGCTAGCAATAAGTCCGCATTACTAACAATCCCTTCCCTCTAGGAGCACTACATTACGAGTATTTCTTTAGTCCTATTTTATACATTTACTATTTTATAAATGGTGCAATAAAGTGTAAATAAATAAATAAATGTCGACGAGTAAAGGATTGTAATAGGCGTCACAGAGGGGGAAAGGGATTGTTAGCAATGGAGTTTGACAGCCCCATTGCTAGCAACATGTCCTATTAGGTCGACCTCCACGTGGTTCCCCTGGAAACCATCGTGAACAATTCTTGTTGAATTCGTCACGATGGGCTAACTGACCTACTTCATCCTCACCTATCATCCTTCACTGGTGCCCCGCCGGTGTATACCGATAGCGCGGGCGGGGTTGCTATTCCATTATCACTCATTAAAAAAAAATAGGCGTCACAGTGTGTTATTGATGCCCATGGTGCTGTTCATGTGTGTAGGTGATAACACTCCCCATGAGGTGGACCGTCAGCGTGTTTACCATTTCAATTGACTTTAAAAGTTAAAGAGCAGTCAAATGAAGCTGGTTAATGAGAATATATGTATATATTTAAATTGAAAAAGGAGTCGGATTGCATTTTGAAGATTCTGCAGTTCTTTTATTTTATTTTTTTTGTATATATGTTACGAACTGTGTATTTGTCAATTCTTAACAGATTTTCCTTATTTTTTTTACTACCTTATGCGCCCATTTCAACATTTTTTTTTTATAACTTTTAAAGTCCCTGTCATTTCTTGATAATCAAAAACTTAAAAAATAAATCTTACTTTCAGAATATACATGTAATCTTGAAAATATGAAATATTTTCATACAAATATATTTATTAAAAATCCTAGACATATATGATATAATGTATATGGTGGCCTCTGTGTACATTATTTATTATATAATATTTTTTATTAGTTTATATAATAACTAGCTGGCTCGGCAAACGTTGTTTTACCATATACATTATTTCGAGAACTACACATGAAAATTTCTCGTACTATAATTATTATATTCGATTGCCATCTTGCAATCCTATTGCCGAATATAAAAATCGCGATTAAAAAACAGGGGTTGATCGTAAAAGGGTGAAAATTTGAGGTTGTATGTATTTTTCAATGCTAAATCATAATAAAAAAAAATAAAAAAAATTGTTAAAAAAATTAAAAAAAAAATTAAGGGTGGATTACCCTTATCATTGAGGGGTATAAAAAAATAGATGGCCGATTCTCAGTCCTACCCAATATGCGCACAAAATTTCATAAAAATCGGTAAAGCCGTTTCGGAGGAGTTTGGTAACAAACACCGCGACACGAGAATTTTATATATAAGATTATATTGTTTTGAGTATAAACTTCCGGGTCCAATTCTTAGACTGGACGGTAGGGAAAAAAATAAAATTATAATGTAAAAATTTGACGTTCATAAGCGGCTAAAATGTCCTACATGAATAAATGATTTTTGAATTTTTTTTTTTTTTAGTTGAGCTAAAATAAAACCTAGAATACTCAAACACAAAAATTTTTATATACAAAATATGTACTACTATGATAACAATTGTGCCTTATATCATTTGTATATATTAATTATGTACCGATAATTAGAAACGATAATGATAATTATCCGTTTCGATACTAGTCATTATGTACTTGTATTTTATCACTGCACATACCTAATTGTTAATTACTTGTTAGATATTATAATCACTTTTAGCCATATTTGAGTTACATTCATTTTGTTTTCTTTTTATACAACTTCGAATGGCATACAAGCTAACGATCCACTTGATGGAAAGCGGTAACCGTCGCCGATAGACATGAGCAGTACCATGGACATAACAGAGAACTCTGTCTCGCCCATGATACCCCCCATGTGCTGCCATTCCCGAGGACTCAGGTGTTATTCCTCTATACCCTGTAAATTCACTACCATAACCTATCCTTTAAACCGAGACACAGCCATACAAACACAGCTGCTTCACGGTTGAAACACGAATGGGACAGAGAAATGATATACAAGGTATGGACCACTTAATTGGTTAACATTATGGATATCACAGTATATACAGTGCCGTTTATAAGATAGTTATAGAATAACTGTTTGTTCATTGGTTATCCTGAAATCGAAATTAATGAAGTTTTTTTCTGTTTAATCAGCCTTACTGGTTTATACTAACTGGGTACCAGTGGGGAAAAGGCATTGTTAGTAATGCGGATTACCAGTCCCATTGCTAACAATATACCCTAACAGGTCGACCTCCTCGTGGTCCCCCCTGGAAACGATGAGCTAACTGACTTGCCTTTCATTCTCACGTATCACCTCGCACTGCTGTTGTTAGCGCAAGCGGGGTAACCATTCCATTATCGTCCATTAAAAAAATTTGAGTACCAGTAAGGAACGACGGGTGAAGACGAAATTAGATCAGTCGTCTCATTGTGACGAATTCGACTGAATTTAATTATATTCTACCGCTTGTACAACGGATTGTGCTCAGAGGAATTGTTCAATATGATGCCCACGGCCACTTTCTACCATAGTACAGCTTGCCATCGACAGAGAGTTCATCCTCATGTCCTACAGCTTCAATGGTCGCGTACAGCGCGGTTTTAGAGATGTTTCTTCCCACGAACACTCAGGTTATGGAATGAGCTCCCTGCCGAGGTTTTCCCAAGAGCGTATAACATGGAGTTCTTCAAAAGGGGAGTATAGAGGTTTCTTCAGGGTCGGCAACGCACGCGTAATACCTTTGGTATTGCAGGTGTTCATAGGCTACGGTAACCACTTACCATCAGGTAGGCCATATGCTTGTTTGCCAACTTAGTGGTATAAAAAAAATATGGGAGAGACTATGTTCAGCAGTGGACAGTTAATGGCTGATCCAAAAAATAAATATAATATATAAACGACGATCTAATATGAAGTACTAAGCAGGTGGTATATCTGTCCCATTTGTGTTTCAAGGAATGCCAATGTATGGGAGGTATCATGGGCGAAACAGTATACTCTGTTATGTCCATGGTACTATTATTTGATACTTTTTCGATGTTTCTTCATTCGATTAACAAGAATACAACATCTGTTCCCAGTATGGGCGAAGACAGTCGGTACACGTGGGCCGAGGTGGCCACTCACAACGGCAAAAATAGCTCGTCCATCTGGATCGTGTACAAGGACTCAATTTTTGACGTCACTAATTACATCCACGAGGTAAGAATAGACACTAAACTACATAACATTTCCACATAATTTCTCTACAACATACCAGAGGGAGACTTTGTACAAAAGTCGATTGCTTGGGTACCTCTGTGCCATTCATGTTTCAATCGTGAAGCAGTTGATACTTTGAACTGAATAAAACGTCAAATATCTAGCACTCTTTATTTTATTTTAAATTCATTATACGGAACCTTAAAGTTTTGTTTGGAAATCTATGTTATCCATAAATGATAACACAAATTATGCGAATTGTACTTTGTATGATAGCTTATCAATTGTCTGTACTCAATTACCACATGCTTTAGTCTTTTGTCATTGTATTTTCTCCTACAACAGCCGAAAAAACTTGTGGAAATTCCAAAAAAAAAAAGGAATTTATTTAGAGAATAATGCTATTCGCAGTAACATAAAATAAAACAATTATTATACAAATATAAATACTAAAAAATAATATAGGTACAATAAAATAAACAGTTACCTATATAGTAAAATTGTATAAAACCGTCTTCATTGTACCTCTGTTTAACACTTTTTTATTGAGTCACGTATTATTAAAATTAAATTATTAATAATAATATATACTTAATATATCCTAATTATTAATAAAATACATATTTTATATAAATCGCAATAAAATTTACTACTGAAATTGTATCAAATAATCCGCGAATTAAACAAAAATCCTTGTTTTTAAATAGTGCATTAAGACCACCTCTGTGATTGTTACTTGTCGTGTCCAATAGGCTCCATAATGCTCATTATAACAGTATTATGCGAGTAACACAACCTTGCAACGCATTTCAGGTCGTCACTCCATCTAGTGGGGGATCGCCCTACACTGTGGTTACCCGTACGTGGTCATCACTCTAGAACCTTTCTTCCCCATCGGTTATCGGTTTTTCGAGCTATGTGACCAGCCCATTGCCACTTCAGCTTGCTTATTCTTGAACTAACATTATACAATGCAAATAAACGAATATAAGTCTCTATAAGAAATCTCTTATTAGAGATAAGCTCGCCTTTGTACATTATGTTTATAATGAATTGTAATTAACAGTATGTCTTGTGTACAATAAAGAATAAAGAAAGAATAAGTATGATTGACCTCGATCCCACCTGAGGGCCTAGCCAAGATGCAATCGCTACCAAGCTATAAGATTTCTATAATCGCTATCGCTTTAACGATAATCGAAAGTACGTAAGGATTAGAAATGATGATAACGTTGATGGAACTCGCGAGGCCGTGAATATTTTTGTTTTAAAATCTCTGATCAGTTTGCTTGTATGTTAATTTCCTGTATAAAATTACTAGATACTTCTATACTCAAGATGTCTATGTCACAGAGGTTGGCCTATGGGCGATGGTGTTTGAGTACCATCAGGCGAATTTTATCCCCTTCATGTATATAAAATTGATTTTACTGAAATACCTGGATATGCACCTCCGAATCAAATCTGGAGGTATTTAATATACTAATGGTTTGGCCTGGCTTCGTACGAGTAGATAGACTTTTAGATAATATATAGCTTATGTTAATCACTGATAATATAAGTGAAAGAATTTAAAAAAATGGTTGAGAAGGTTTTGAATTCAATTCATTACAAACATTCAAGCAAATCTTTCCTCTTTATAATGTTAGAATAGATTTTTTATGCAATTTAGAATGGCAAACAAGCTGACGGCCCACCTGATGGAAAGTAGTAACCGTCGCCTATAGACATGAGCAGTACCATGGACATAACAGAGTATACAGTTTCGTCTATGATACTCCCCATGCCTTGCCATTCCTGAGGACTCAGGTGTTATTTCACTGTATCCTGTAAATTCACTGCCAAAAAGGTACATTATAAAAAGCTAGTTATTTTTAGTTATAATGTATTTACAGGTTTAATATATCACTATCCAATTCATTTTTATAACTGAGTTTTTATCAGCTTGTTCAAAAATCAATTTCAGCCAAAAAGAACGAATAAGAAAATCTAAAGTTCACCATTTGTACACGTTTAAAATATGACCAATAACTTTTCTGTTTGTATTTCAGCATCCCGATGGGCCAGATTCAATACTGGACGTAGCCGGCAAGGATGCCACCAAGGATTTTGACTCCGCCGGCCACTCGGGAGACGCACGACAGATCTTGGCCAAGTTGAAGATAGGTGAAATTGTTGAGGTAATTTTTGTTTATTTTTTTACAACACAGGGGGCAAACGAGCTTGCGGCACACCTGATGGTAAGTGACTACTGCCGCCCATGATCATCCACAACACCAGCGGCGTTGCAGGTGTGCTGCCGGCCTTTTAAAAAGGAATATACTCTTATTATATGGAGACAGATTGAGACTTTATGACAATCGGGCTGTAACTGCAGAATAAAATGTTTCAGAAATATTAACAATTGCATAGGTTGTTAATGTCCCTAAATTGTTTTACAGTGACAAGGGTTTTTTTTTATTTTATTTTAATGGATGATAATGGAATGGTAACCCCGCCTACGCTAACGGTATACGCTGGCGGGGCACCAGTGATAGATGATAGGTGAGGATGAAAAGGCAGGTCAGTTAGCCCATCGTGATGAATACACTTGGAATTCAGCACGATAGTTTCCAGGGGAGACCACGGGGAGGTCGGCCTGTTAGGGTATATTATTAGCAATGGAACTGATAATCCGCATTACTAACAATCCCTTCTCCCCCAGTGACAAGAGTTAGGTACTCAAGAAAAAGCAATGAAAGTGGAACAAATGCGGTTAAAATGTGAATATAAGGTAGAATTTGCGGTATTTTCAAATAACGAGCAAGTTGTTTTGATAGATACTGTTTGTGAAAAATTGAAAAAGGGAACGTAGATTTGGAATTGTTGTTGACACTTGGTGGTTAAAATCCTAATTCATTGAAGTATTACGAAGGACATGTAGACCCATTAGGCGTTCGACGGTGGACAAATTCATTACAAATTAACAACAATTGTTTCTAGAGAGACTTGGGGGTTATATTTTCTAATCCAGTAATTTAAATGTCACATCCCAAATTTCAAAACGAAATAGGAATCTAAAGAGCTACAATGTAATAGGTTATTTATTTTGGACACTATCTTTACATCTATATGTGGATGAAAATGTTAGATAAAGGATTAATTATGGTGTATCAAGATTAGTTCGTTATTACTCCATCCTAGAAAAAACCCTATTTTGCCAAGTTACATTGAAATAAAACAAAAGGCCTCGCTAATAGTGACGTAATGTGTTGATCATTGTGAGTGCACGGGACGAAATGTGAAACGTAGGTCGGGAGTGGAGTCGCACTGAGCGCCATCTGGTGGCCCATAGACATTTGCTCTTACTAGGGAGAGGATACGTCTTACCTAGATATTTTTTGATATACCCAAACACAATTATGAACGAAGAATTTGATGATTGATTACTATTTTCTTTTTCTTTTATGTTTAATTAATTTATTGTCGGTTTTTCTTGTTACCTTTTTGGCTGAATTTGAAGGTAGGTCAGGATTACTTTCAACCGAGCTTATAAAAAGAAGTTGTCTTTTTGACGTTCGTTTGTATGTTACTTTATATCAACGTCAATTTTAAACGTATTTTGATGGTAAATTTTTTGTGGAACAAAATTTCATATTGTGTTCGAATCAGTAAGCCCTCTTTAGACGGGAGTAATATCTTTAAAAAGACGGTCCCATTTACTAGAGAGAGAGCAGGATGTGGTGGAAGATTCATACATACAAAAAACCACACGATGTATCTCAGGCTCATAATGTCTGGACCTTTGGGTCAAATTGAAATTCCACCAAAAAAGCCAAACCCCCGAGCCAGATGACAAACAGTAGTTTCAATTTCGTTACCGCACACGTGATAAAGGAAAAGAACAGAAGACTTTTGTGTCTCTTTCTATCTTAACCATGTAACAGTGATAACATATTGATAGGTTTACAGCATATAGCATATACAGCATCACCAGAGAGAGACTTTGTACAAAAGTCGATTGCTTGGGTACCTCTGTCCTATTCGTGTTTCAACCGTGAAGCAGTTGTGTTTGCATGGCTCTGTTTCGGTTTAAAGGGTGGGATATGGCGTGAATTTACTGGGTACAGAGGAATAACACCTGAGTCCTCAGGAATGGCAACGCATGGGGGGTATCATGGGCGAAATAGTATACTCTGTTATGTCTATAGGCGACGGTTACCATTTTCCATCAGGTGGACCGTCAGTTTGTTTGCCATTCTAAGTTGTATAATATATATATATATATATATAAATGCCACAGACTATTGACGAGGAAAACTTGAATAAACATAACTTCACTTTTTAAGTCGTTTAAATCTATCACGTTACCGAGGATCATTGGTCGCGTCTCCACAGTAATCTCGACCTTCACTGACATTTTCATAAATTACAAGCAGTATTTGAATTACTAATTTCTGTACTGGCAAATGAGAGGTGTCACCTCTCGTTTGTTATTTGTTATAAAGTTATAGATGAAATAATTAGGTTGATATATTTTTGATAAAATATTCGTCTACAAAGTATTATAATGTAGTTCTACTAATTTAACACCTATACTAAATGTGAAGGTTTTGTAAAGATATTTTGGAAGTTTTCCGTTACTCGTTCACGCTTGAATGACTGCATGGATTTATATAAAATAAATAATAATAATAAAGCCGCGCGAAGTTCGGGCGGGTAGTTAGTAAAATTATCATGGTTTTAAGAGCTGTTAACTGTCTATTGTTGAACGTAGGCCTCCCCCCATTGGGGGGGTTTTGCACGTAGATGTCACGCTTGGCAGGCGGACTGGTAACCACAGATAGCTTTTGGTGATCTACTAAGAGGACGCTTCTGTCCATTTCTCGATTAAATTCCCTTAGTCGCCCACTTACGACACGACACCCACGGGGAATTTCATTATAAGATCTTCTGTGAAGTGAAGATTTGGTCTTCTTTGCATAATGGTGGCAATTTCCACCATAACATTGAATGCCCAAAAATTATATATTTTTTTATACAACTTAGAATGGCAAACAAGCTGACGGCCCACCTAATGGAAAGTGGCAACCGTCGCCTATAGACATGAGCAGTACCATGGACATAACAGAGTATACCGTTTCGCCCATGATACCCCCCATGCGTTGTCATTCCTGAGGACTCAGGTGTTATTTTTCTGTACCCAGTAAATTCACGCCACATCCCACCCTTCAAACCGAAACATAGCCATGCAAACACAACTGCTTCACGGTAGAAACACGAATGGGACAGAGGTACCCAAGCAATCGACTTTTGTACAATGTCTCCCTCTGGTATGAGAAATGAATAATTAGTACCATAATAATAATAATTTGAAATCATATCAATAAACGCGTAGGTATGTCATTGCGCCCTTTGTATCGTAACGGAATTCTTGCGAAAAGTAGGTAATACCAGATATGAATCAATCGTATATAAATTACTGCAATTATTCTGCGGTCCTTTATCTTACAATGTATGAGTAGATTACTCGTATTATGACGTGTGTAATGAGTTAGAAATAGTTTGTACATTTTATCTTTGAGTAGTTTTCACCAGCGATTTCATCCACATGGTTGGGATTTATTCTATTCTCACGATAAAAAGTGGTCTACGTCCTTCTTCGTCCCAAATATGCAAACCACATCTCTCAATCCAAAATCAATTCACATTTATATAATACCAATTAATGTGTTTTATGTTTTTGTTTTATACAACTTACTCTTAGAATGGCAAACAAGCTGACGGTCCACCTGATGGAAAGCGGTAACCGTCGCGTATAGACATGAGCAGTATCATGGACATAACAGAGTATACTGTTTCGCCCATGATACCACCCATGCGTTGCCATTCCTGAGGACTCAGGTGTTATTATTAGTTATGGGGTAATTTAACATTAAAAAAAAAACAACCGAATTGAAAACCTCCATCTTTTTGGATTCGGTTGAAAATATTTTTAAAATAAAATACTATCCATATTGGCGGTAGATTAGTGATACAGAAAAAAACATTACATAGGTACCTGAGTAGCTACTTAATCAGGATTAAATTGTATATAAAAAGAGAAATAAAGTAAACACGGTTACAACACTAGGAATAAGTATCAATTTGTTGATAGACACGAGAGGAGCACTTCATTTTAGCTTGATTACTTACGTACTTACTCGTTTATCTATGGCCGCGACAAACTTACAAATAGGCTACGCTCACTCGCTGCATGTAGGAGGTATGGAGCTAGGAGGAAAACTAGAGTATTTTACAATCGTTTAACTATTTCTATCTAATACGAAGCAGTACAAAGATGCCTATACTATCTACTAATCTATAATAAATAAATAATCTATAAAATAATAAATATTTTTTTATACCACTGAGGTGGCAAACAAACATACGGCCCACCTGATGGTAAGTGGTTACCGTAGCCTATGAACACCTGTATTACGCACGCGTTGCCGACCCTGAAGAAATCTCTTTACCCCCCTTTTAGATTTAGATAAATACTATCTAGTTAATAATAAAACAAGGAAAAGTTGGTTTGCTTGGGTACCTCTGTTCCACGCGTTTCTTTTATGAAGAAGTTAATGGATGATAATAGAATGGTAACCCCGCCTGCGCTAACGGTATTTACTGGCGGGGCACCAGCGAGGGATGATAGGTGAGGATGAAGCAGGTTAGTCAGCCCATTGTGACGAATTCAACGAGAATTGTACACGATGGTTTCCAGAGGGAACCACGTGGAGGTCGACTTAATAGGGCATATTGCCAGCAATGGGGTTCTCAAACTCCATTGCTAACAATCACTTTCCCCCCTGTTACATTAATATATATCTATCAAAACAGTATGAAACTATTACCTCGCTAGTATTGCAATTCAGGGGGGAAAGGGATTGTTAGTAATAGAGACTGAGAATCCCATTGCTAGCAATATACCCAACCAGGTCTCCCTCCTCACAGTTCTCCCTGGAAACTATCATGGTTAATTCCTGATGAATTCATCATGATGGGCTAACTGGCCTGTTTTTATTCTCATCTATCACCCTTCACTGGTGCCCCGCCAGCGTATCCCGTTAGCGCAGGCGGGGTTACCATTCCATTTTTACCCATTAAAAAAAAAGTATTGCAATTCAGGAGTGTGAAACTTCTCAATTCCAATATCGATTTATTGGAATTTATTCCAAGAGTAACCCCACAGGTGTATCTTCAGCGCGTTCGCCATTAGAAATTCCAAAAAAATAAAACTTCAATATTCATTTAATTGCTTAAAAAATCCAAATTAATAGATGCCATAATAAATATTAATTCCTCATTATTACAGGAAGAGAAGAAGTACGATGCCAACGGTAAGAAGAAGAAAAAGGTAGTGCAAGTACCACCGGAGAAGGAAAGACGGAGTTGCTGCAACATTATCACCTGCGGCCTGATAGGGTGATGTGGACACTCATCAGTATTAAATCCGAAGTCACCAGGACCATTCCTCCTTTTGTTCTATTGTGTTCTCACTCCCTGATAAATTATATCTACCCTGTTATGTAGAGTGTAAGCAATAAATCGCCAAAATGAACCTCCCTTCCCTTCAACCCCTGTATGGGTTGGGAAGGGAGTCACAAAATTCGCATTTAACAAGTCATTTTACAATGCGACTCATGTGAATGAGCTACTGTTGCTTACAAGTCCTGACTGATTTAGCTTTTAAACAGAAGCAGGTCATCGGCACCGCATTGTAATTTTTATTATCAAACAGAGGGACCTCTGCCTGTATATTCTATATTTATTTTTTTATATATAACTAGTGGCCCGGCCGTGTATCGCTCGGGTGGACATTTTTAACATTTCCCTTCACTGCTCTGCTCCTATTGATTGTAGCGTGATGAAAAGTATACTATAACCTGCCCAGGTGTATGAAGAATAATTGTACTAAGTTTCGTTAAAATCCGTCAAGTAGTTTTTGTTTCTATAACAAAGATACAGACAGACAGACAAAATTTTACTGATTGCATTTTTTGGCATCAGTATCGATCACTAATCACCGCCTGATAGTTATTTTGGAAATATATTTCATGTACAGAATTGAACTCTCTACAGATTTATTATAAGTATAGATAGATAGATATGTATATATGGTGGCTATAGCCTAGCCAATAAAAATAAACTATGTACGATTTTTGATTCTATACATTACGAGTATATTAATCCAATGTGTAGGGTCGAATCGAGACTGTTTTTTTTTACAACACAGGGGGCAAACGAGCATGTGGCTCACCTGATGGTAAGTGACTACCGCCGCCCATGGTCACCCACAACACTTACGGCATTGCAGGTGTGCTGCCGGCCTTTTAAAAAGGAATATGCTCTTTTCTTGAAGGTTATGTGGTCGTATCGGTTCGGAAATACTGCTGCTGGAAGTTGATTCCAAAGAGTGGTTGTGCGTGGGAGAAAGTGCCTTGAAAAACACACGTTTTACCAGTGAAGTAAAAATTTTGTCAAGAAAAAAAAAATAGAATAGAATAGAATGAATATTTATCGTTAGCTGTACATTATAATTTTTCGTAAGATGTTATTAACGTCTTTTAGGAAAATACAACCTACCCATACATGGGTCATACAATACAATAGATTGATAAACGACATCTTAGACATATATTCAGCTGTTAAGTTGGTGTAGGAGACTCAAATTTTTTTGTTTTGGTTTTTGTATTTCCGTGTTACAATATTTCCTAATATATTCCACAGCGTACGTAGATTCTTAGTTTTCGCGTAATTATATTTATGTGTGAGCTAATAAGGAAAACGGAGACCTTTTAGTCTGTCGCCTTTATCATGTTAATCTCGAGTATCGATGGAGCAAATAGAAGGAAATGTCCTTGTTACATCGCACTTTCCTTTATAAAAACAACTGTATGTGGGCTTTAATAGAGTCCATAATATGTTTTTCTCTAATGATACTGGGCAAAAATTAGTAAAGAATCTTACCATACTGAATACAGTCGTATAAAAATGAATTATTTATTAGATTTTGCTGCATAAATAAAACCCAGACTCCAATCGAGGCTATATTGATTTTATTATTTTTTGCATTTGAGGTCGTCACTCCATTTAGTAGGGGAGGGGGCTTCTACACTGCGTTCGCCTGTACAGGGTCGTCACTCTAGAACCTTTCTTCCCCATCGGTTGGCGGTTCTTCGAGCTTTGTGAGCAGCCCATTGCCACTTCAGCTTGCTTATCTTTCGGGTTATGTAGGTCACTTTGGTTCTTTTGCGGATATCCTCGTTTTGGATTCTATCACTCAAAGAGAGGGAATGTGTATGTATATCAATAATTAGTAGTACCTCATTCGAGTATTCTGACACTTCCCTATGGTTGACTGGGAGAGAATGCTTTTAGCATTAAGTCCGCCATGTACACATATCATTAGTATATATATATATATATATACTAATGAATAAATAAATAGATTCATCATAAGCCTGTGAAATCTACCGTGAATCCATCGCCATACAACAAAAATATAGGTACATCTTTTCAATCGAAAAAGAATGAGGTTCACAATTGAACTAAATTCGGTTATATTTTTTTTATGTTTACTACCTCATAACTTCGTCGGTTATATAACAGATTTGGAACTTTTTTAACTGAAATCATTAGTCCCATAAATTTTTTATCAATGTCTGTTCAGTGGTCTAGATTTGAAATAACTTTTGTTTTATCACAATTACATTTCTTTTTTTTTTATGAACACATATGAACACAAATGTTACAACTAGAGTACTAATTCTAGTACAGCTGGATCCATCCAGTAGATGACATATCGGTTCAAACTAATTTTTACTTTGTCATATTGTATAAACAGAACTCATTTACCTATTAATTTATTAAATAATCTACGCTAAGATATTTATTTTAGTTTTATAATAAAACTGTGCGTTATTATAGATAATAACAGAATGTTTGTGTCTATAATTTTTTTAAGTGTAATAAATATTTAATAATAATATTGATTTTAATTATTCTAATATAAGTAAACGACTTACTCCCAAATGATACCACTTCTATAGCTACACTAGTGTTTTTTCAATTATTTACGCACTAAATTTCGAGTTATTAAACATTATATTAAGAGATACAAGAATGGTACAATTCAAAATTCAAAAAAAAAAAATTTTTTTTAAACTTACTAATGGCTTCTTTCCAGCCATTACCAGTTGTTGCTGATGACCATTTCTTCTTTAACAACTTGGCATAACAAATGTGCTCTCTTGATAGGAAATGGTAACCACAAAGTACGTGTTATGGTAAATGCTACCAGATTCACCAGTAGCGACAGAAACAGAAAAATACTAGAAACTAGTTCTCTTGCCTGTTACTTCATACTTGTAATTATAGATACAGTAGAGAACAGTTGCGTTTGCATGACTACGTTTCGGTTTGAAGGGTGGGATATGGCGTGAATTTACAGGGTACAGAGGAATAACACCTTAGTCCTCAGAAATGGCAACGCATGGGGGGTATCAAGGGCGAAACAGTATACTCTGTTATGTTCATGGTACTGCTCATGTCTATAGACGACGGTTACCACTTTCCATCAGATGGGCCGTCAGCTTGTTTGCCATTCTAAGTTGTATAAAAAAAAATATAGTATTAGATTTAATGTTTTGTAAGTTCGTTTTTAATAAAATAAACTCTAAAATTACTCAACGGAACGGAAAAAACTTGACACAATTTTAAGCAGCATTTTTTTTATATTTATTAAGTATGTATATTATAATATTTTAATATAACAACTACTAAATAACTTGTGTGTTTTTAGTCGACAAAGCTTGACTAGTTTCGGGACCATTCGGGACCCTTAGACATGTCTCATGCACGCGTCACAGCCGCTCATGACTGAGGCCCACGATTGGTTCTGGAACTGGTCGAGCTTACTAGACTAAAATACATATTAGAAGTAGTAAATATTAAAATATGAATTAATCAATTAAGTCAAATATTATTTTATAAGCGATTATTTTAGTTAGATTAGTTTATTTTCAACAAATATGCAGATGATGTGATGAAAAATGCAATATCATCATTGTTTTTTATCTAAAGGATCAAGAGAGGACTACAGGAACATCATATGCTACTGCAAGAGAAGAGAATTCGAACTATAATATACCAAACTGCCTGGCCAGTGTGGTAATAGCAGTTAATATCCTTTTCTGAAACATGCTTGGAAATGTGAGTATTATTTTGACAATCTTCTTCGAGATAAATCAAAATTGCCGCACTGGCCAGATACATGCGGGCAGCGGCCGGCAAAAGTTGTATGAAAATCCATATCTGTCGTGTTTTGCGGCCAGATTAATTACTATGTAAACTCATATCTGTCCTGTAATTTAAAAATATAATGACCTTTTACTTAGAAACATGGCTACCAAGGAGGTAACTAATAAAAGGTTTTATTTAAATTTCGAAGTGGCTTACAAATAGAAAGCTGTTTATTGAAAAAAAAAAAAAAAAAAAAAACAAAGGAACATTATGGCGCGTGAAAAATTATTATTGTTCGTTATTCGTCATTGAACTTAAAAAGTAAAATTGTGTTTTTGATTTCGGCGCATTGTTTGAGAAAAGTACTATACAAGCCTTGGCCACAACTAGGCATTGATGGACTCACGTATGTGTGCCTCGGCTACACCTCGGCCTACATTTGGACGTTCGTCCATCAATGCTTCAGTTGCTGGCCGCTGCAGTAATGTACTATTTCTATACAAGAGAAACCCGTGCCTATTAGTGGCATGTTTATTGGTTGTAACATCATATGGAACAAACAATCCATTTTGCAATAAAAAAAATGTTAAGTATACCTATATAAATCCTTTGCTTTCTATCTAATAGCAAAACGGATGCAAACCACATAATATCTTTATCAATAATTCATTAGGAATAGGTAAACTAAATAATCCCTTAAAATGCATATCTTGGTAAAAATCCATTTGCATCGTGTCCATGCATAATTTAGAGAGATAAGTGCTCGATAAATTTATCTACTATTTTTTCGCATGAACGGCTCTCGTTCTGGGTAAATTATAACGTATATTCAAATCCAATAACCCGTGTAGTTCTAAAATTATGGATAGAGCGGCTTAGCGTAAGTTCTACAAACATTTTGTCCTTATGTCGATAAGTTTGTATGGAAATCTAAGTTTTTGAAATCACCCGTTAGAGGCGCTGCTATATTTTTAATTTTTTTTACTACGTTTGTACCGTTGTAGAACAGGCTAAGGTCGGAGACCATGCTGCTTAGTCTAATATAAGTTATACATGTAAACGTCAGCTATAGTTTTTTTTTTAATGAGTGATAATGGAATGGTAACCCCGCCTGCGCTAACGGTATACACTGGTAGAGCATCAGTGTGAGATGATAAGTTAAAATGAAGGAGCATGTCAGTTAGCCCTTCGTGACGTATACACTTAGAAGCTTCAGCACGATGGTTTCCAGGAGGACCACGGGGAGGTCGACCTGGTTCGATATATTGCTAGCAATAGAGCTCTTAGTCACCATTACTAACTATCCCTTCCCCTCCTGTCAGCTGTAGTTAACGCAGTAGTAATATAAATGTGTTAAACTCGCAATAGGGTGTCAGATCTATAATGAGGAAATATTTACTGACGCTAAAAGGACATATTTAGATACAAATAGTAAAATTTTCAGTCTGAAGTTAATTAGGAAAATGTCTACTGACTTAGCTGCTTAAACATCTTTTGTCACTTATGATGCATATACGAGACCCGATTTTATAAACTTGTCTTTTAATCTAATATTTTAATTTGATAGTTTCGCCAAATTACTGTTTTATGAACTATTATAAGCTTAATTTATATTTTTTTGAAAAGTGCAATTTTGAGTACTCATAGTGACATCTTACAGATACTATTTGAATTAAAAATCAATGTAGACATGCAGACTGTTCCAAGTATCTCGTGAAACTACATAAGTACATTAGATGGCGCTGTAAAGAAGTTTTATAAATTTGGCGGGTTTTGTAACTAAGATGTTTTCCTTTGTTCCTAACAAAATTTTTACAATACGACCTTCACGTCGGCATAACTAATTATGTTCACAAAAAAAGAGACATTAAAATATGCTTGTAAATCTTTTGTAAATGTATGGATGTGTTGAAAGATTTACTTTTCTTTTGTAGTGACATACATTGATGATGGAGGGCATTCGTGATGATGGACCAGATGACCTGTTTAATCTTCACCTATCATCCCTCACTGCCAGCGTATACACAGGCGCGGTCGCCATCCATTATTACCCAATAAACAGAAAATCCCTAATCAAGATTATTATGGTGCCTATAATTGTCTATTATTTTAATAATATCATTACATAACTAGTTTAATTTGTGAACTATCAGTTATAGATCCTAAAAAACACTGTCGAGACACATAAATACATGAATATAAAGGTATTCATGTATTGTGTGGGTTTCGAACCCGTTGCGTGTTTGCGTTTGCGGAAACATTGCAATTATATAAATAGATTACAGCCCATATTACTTGTTGATAATATGGCTTCCCATAGTCGAAATTTTTTAAAATCGGTTAAGCATTTTTTAAATTTATTTATTAGAAACAAAAAAATCTCTTTAATTTAGTTAGATGTAACAAAATGTATTACTTTATCTACGGGTGAAGATTATTAGTAACGGCATTTAGTGGTCCCACTGCTTGTGATATGTCTTGTCAGGTCGGCCTCCACGTTGAGTCACCTTGAGACCTTCCAGACTTCATCCTTATTGCTATCCCATCAGCATAAACTAATACGCGCAGGTAAGGGTAACCATGTAATATTGGGGGGAAGAGATTGTTAGTAATGGGGAGGTTAGCCCCATTGCTAACAATATACCTTATCAGGTCGACCTCCACGCGGTTCCTTCTGGAAACCATCATGACTAATTTATCGTTAAATTCGTCACGATGGGATAATTAACCTGCCTTTTCTCCTTCACCAATCATCCCTCAGTAGTGTATACCGCTAGCGCAGGCGGGATTACCATTCCATTATCATCCATAAAAAAAAAACATGCAGTATTTCATTTTCATCCCCCATCATGTGCAGAGGGTAGGGTTACCATTGCATGTTCCATTTTCATATATGAAAAAAAAAAATGTTTATGCACTTACTAATTACTGTTGTAGGTACTGAACATGTAATTTTTATTCCAAATCCAATTTGAATTAATCAGGGTCATTTTATAGGTGAATAGTTAAAATAGCAACTGTACACGAACCAGAGTACAATTCATTTTGTATCTTGCTAATGAAACAATAAAGTGTTTAATAATTAAGATTGTATTTCACAAAAAAGGACAGTTGTGGCATAATCAGTTATTTTAAAAACTGCTAAAAAGATTTTGATAAAATTTATAAAACTTTAAAAGTTAGAACGAAACAAACATAAAAAAAAAAAAAAACAATAAAATTGAGAAACTTCTTTTTGTAAGTCGTTTGAAAATAGAATGTATCAGTGCATTATATTTATTTTAATGTATATTATTGAAAAGTTATGCACATAAATCATTAATTTCTATGTTAAAAAAATAAATTGCCTGTAAAATGCTCAAATTTAGGTTCAGTAAGTAAATTTTTAAATAAGAAATTTTATGAAAGTTTAACAACCCATTATTCTAACTTTAAAGTAATTATTTGAAATAAGACAAATTATATTAAGCAATAATCTATATATTAAGTTAGGTTTTTTATGTGTTCTTATTTTGAAAAATAAAAACCGAAACTGTTTATGGTACATTACAAAAATAAATAATTTAAATAACTAAACAACGATAATGAGTTTTCCATTACTATCTAGCGTCATGGACATCATCAGTATGGAATGAAAACCACATTTCTCCAAATCGTTTATTCAAGCAAATGAACATAATATGAACAAAGTATAACATTAAATTTATCTACTTAATGATATTTACATTCCGTACCTTGCTTACCATGTATTTTATTAATCTATTCTATACGTACATATATCTAGGACTCTTATCTTAAACAGTGTAAAGATGCAAAATACCATTTGTCCATAGGGGTTGAATTAAAAAAATAAAACATTTGAAATGAAAACGAAACGCTCGCATCTCACACAAAACAGTATTATGCATTTTTACGTCAATTAATTGTTAAGGGAACATTCTTATTGTTGATAATATTCAATTATCAATCGAATTGTCATAGTACTGGAATAGACCATAAGCTACGCTCACGCCGCTCATGTGGGGTCATTAACACAACGAGATTTTAAAAGTAGGCACAACAATTTCACTGTCACTAATACACAGTACATAATTATTGTAAGCACAGTTTGTCACAGAAAACGGTCACTTACAGCGGGGCCACTGTCCACGTTCCTCATTAGCATACTAAATTTTCAAATCAGTCTATCAGAAATGATAATTTTGGTCATTTGGTAGACTAGACAGCAGACAACCCGCTCGAGAGAGGACCGGCCGCGGCGCGTGGTAGGGACCGGTGAATACTGATAACAGGGCTACATTAAAGATGTTAATAGGACATAACTTGATAGTCAAACGACCGGTCCAGTGGGGGCGAAGGGGGGAGGGGCACAAACAATCAACGCCACATGACAACATTAACAATGGCTCGTCATAGAAAACTTAAATAGTGCATATTTGAAATCAACTAAAACTAGGAAATAAAGCCATGCACAATGTTTCTAATGGCCAACGCCCACTATGTAGACTAGACTTCATCATAAAATCTGGGCCAATAGAACCATCGGTTTCTTAATAATGTATCTTTAATTGTACATCTAATATAGTACACACTGTCCTGTCATTTGGCCAACAATCTGTTAGCATAACTGTTAATCAACGATGAACTCTTTGAAATTCAGCGCGGAAGACTAAACATTAAATTCAATTACAACAAACTTTCCTATTGTTACAAGCTTAAACTGAGATTACATTCAATTAATATGTTCAATTTATAATAACTAACACTTGCCATACAGTAAAAAAAGGACACATACAAATTGTAATACAAAACATAAAGGTAAAAACAGGAATTAAGAAATTAAAAAAAATCTCTACAGTGAGGCATTCTCAGTTTCTAATAAAGATTGTTAAAATTTAATTTAAAATTATTTTTTTTAAGTTGGTTTGTCCATTCAATCTCATATTACATTTGCACAACAGGCACTTTAGATTAAGTTTGTCAAAATTGAGACAAGGCATAATTATGCGACTACAAATATAATTTGCAAAATAAATACTTTCAGTATAGTTCAATACATTCTATCGGATGAACACAGAGACAGATTATGGATACATTCAATTCAGTGTGTAAATTAGATATTTTATAATAATAATAAATTTAAGAGAGTAAATAAAATATTTTAGTAAAAACTCTATCAAGACACTTTCTACAGACCCATATAACATACAAAAACTCATATACTATATAATTACGATTTAAAATATACTACTGTCCGTTCCACTCAATTGTTCACAATCAATTTACAAGTGACCACTGCAGATGCATTCACAAAATCATACACAATGGTGTCTGGCACCACCACACACATCTCGGTGCAAACTAGGCAGTCTGGTCTCGTTTTAAGGACACTGAAAACTCTTCCCGCAGTCTGAGGAGGCTGGCTCATTGCTGCTGGTTCGACTGTGCCGCCTGGCTCGGTGACTTCGTAATTACTATCGTCTGCTTGCCGCCGACACCCGATTTGCCGAGCTGTAGTACATTAGAGGGCAGTGTGATGATTTTATTACCGCCGACAGTGTTTGCCGACACCAGTTTCACGATGGTTGCTCCTGGTGCGATGTTCTGACCTTGTGCTGCAGTCGCTGGCACAGCAGGTCGGTTTTGCACCATTGCAACCTTAGGGACAGTCGCCACGGTCATACCTGTCGACGTCTTCACTAAAGTCACATATTGGGGAGCGTTGCTCGCTTGGGCGTTTGCACCCGGAGTCTTTTTGATGATGACGGGTATGCCGGCGTTGCTACCGGCTTGTCGCAACACTGTAGCGCCACCCGCCGCCACCGACGTTGTAGCTACTGTAGCAGTTTGTTCACCAGATTTTGCAGTGACTATTTTGTAAACGGGTGTTTTCACTTGTTGACCCCCGAGCGTGCCACCGGCGATTTGTATCGCTCCACCGCTACTAGCTATGACGGGCAGATTGCCCGCTCCTAACTTAACAGGAACACCTGTGGCCACTTTGGTCTGAAGATTGGCGACTCCCGCCTGTATTGGCACACCACCTGCTGTCTTCACCAATACGTTGCTAGTTCCGATTTTAACATTGCCAGCACCTAGTTTTAAGGGAACATTTGTAGTTCCGACTTTCTGTACGCTGTTTGTAGTGATTTTACCTTGAATGTTGGCCGTGCCAATCTTGAGAGGCACAGCACCACTGGTGAGCTTGACAGGCACGTTTCCGGCGCCTAATTTGACTGGTACAGCTCCACTAGCGCCGGTCTTGACTTGCACAAACCGCGGTGTTCCTGCACCAGCCGTTCCAGAGCTAAGCACTATCTGAGTATTTGATTGTGCAGTGGACACCCTCACAGTACCAGGTGTGCCAACACCGCTTACTATCCTTGTGACGCCCTGCGGCGTAACAGCGGCGACTTTAATTTGCTGCGAGGATCCCGCAGCCGCCGGTGACTTAACAATAGTTTTACCTTGGTAAGTAGTTTGTTTCAAAGTAGGTGTGTTTGGAGTAATTTTGACCGCAGGTGATTGTGCTGGTACTTTGATGGAGCCTGGTATAATCTTCTGAGGTGTAGATACTATAGGTGTGATAATAGGCGAGGCCGCCGCGGCAACAGGGCGGACAGGCAGATCCGTCGGATTGGGTGGCAGACCAGTAGCTATAGGCGATGTGAGTCCAAAGGCTTTGGCAGCATCAGGTTGCGTTGCAGCAGGGGAGGCAGGCGGTGGCGCTGCCACGGGCTCCGCAGCCGTCGGGAAGCGGGCAGGTGTCACTTTTCCACATTTCTGTACTTGTAGGACATATGTAGTGATAGTATTCATAGCAGGCCAGCAGAGTTCTAAAGAAGTAGTGCCAGCACGTACCAGTGCAACCCTGCCGGCTTGTGGTGGTACTCCAACTTCCAGATACCATAAATCCTTGCAACAGATTTGATTGTTCCAAGTTTTCCTATAGCCATCTCTTCCTGACCAGATGTAAAGTCTTGTTTGTATTGCGACTGCACTGTGTCCAGCTCGGGCTCGGGGTACACATTCTTCAAACTTATCCAAAGCAATATTATCCCAAGTCATGTTCTCCAAATTAAGTGAAGCCAGTGTATTAGTACATTTCCATTCTTTTTCATGGGTGGCAAGTTTAGATTCATCAGGTACGAGTGGTACCCAACCTCCATAAACATACATATGATGTCCGATGACAGTGGCAGTGTGAAGTGAACGAGGCAATGGTGCTGGACCTCCCACCTCTGGTCTAGACCAAGACATACTATCTACATCGAGTATCCATAAATCACCAAGTCGTGAACCACTCATACCTCCATATATAATTAATGACGATTTTCCAGTATTTTTATCTGTGTAAGCCACACCACTATGAGACTCACGGGGAGGTGGTGATTGGCCATATGTAAGAGGAATGTCCCAAACAGTCATTGATGAGTTAGGATACAATTCAAGGGTATACAAGTCATTAAGGTATCTGGGTATGTTGTTTTTGGGATCATCGCTTTCGTTGGCTAGCCCGCCGAAAAGGTATACTTTCCCATTGAGGAGAGTGAAACTGTGTCCTAAGCGAGGGCAAGGCGGAATACCTTGTTTGGGGGGTAGTGGTTTGAGACGTTTCCACTCCCATCGTGAAGCTTGCAGTTCATATAAATCATTAGAATACTTGCCGTACTCCACCATGCCGCCAAACACCAGCAGCCTCGTGCCATCCACCACGAAGCCATAAGCAGCGCATCCTGGGGGCACTTCACCTTTCGTAACAGGAACAAACCATTGGTTCGTTGTGGTATTGAAGACGTGCAGCTCATGAACAATCCCTTCGTTTCCGCCGCCAAAAACTATCATCAAATCTTTTATGGCGACCGCGCGATGGCCATGTCGAGGTCGTGGTTGCGGGCCGGTGGGATTGTAGACTTTTTGCCACTTAAGTACCGCGTTTTCCTTCATTTTTACTATACATTTGTCACTAAAAGCTTTATACCGTATGTATCTCTCGGGATGCGTATCTATCGCATAGACAATGAGAAACGTCGTAAATAAGCTTTGAAGAAAATATTCGGGTTAGTTGAAGCTACCTAATACTATCTTAATCGGTATTCTCTTTTCCACTTATTATGTCGGCCTATGAGTAAAAAAAAATCACCTTATGAAGCTTACAGTGTACAACAAAAATGGCGTTAGCAACAGCGTAGCCAACATGAAAACAGTGGAAAAAGCGGCGTCGGACGTCAAGATTTAATCTATGACTAATATAGTTTTAATATGAATTGTTTTTGATCAAAACCTTACCAGAATAAAATAATTTTAAAATTGTATTATTCTTTTATTTAATTAATTGATTAATCTTTGTTAAAATGTTATATTTAGATTTTTTATACAAATATTGTACTATAATTACTAAATAAATTACAAGCAGAAGGACTAAATGGCAGGTAAAATCTGAAAACAGATGGCGCTGCTGTATTATGATCTCTTGTTACTAAAGATATCAATAATATTACAAAAGATGCATATTATTTTTGATACCTATAAATAATATTATTTGAATTTAATCAATAAATTCAATTAAAGTAGTGAGAATTCCATTTAGTAAAAGGCTTGACTGGCTGCTTGAATTTAAGTCACAAATTCTTTATTTATTTATTACAAAAATCCACAGCTCTTATAAAATAACTTACATGCTAAGTTTCTTATAAATACAGCCAATAATAGAATTTAATTATATAAACGAAAATTATAATTCTCTTTAATAAAAATTCAGATAGAACTCAGGTAAAATGGATGGAATAGGTATGTAATCGAAATTCACACTTCAATTTGTTTATTTTGATAGACAAATTGTAATTTTTACGCATTTTAAACATCTCCGGGTATAATTATGTGTGTATGGACTATACGAAAAAATACAAAATAATAAAAAAAAAAAAAAAAATAGGCAGTAAATGATTATTTATAGCAAAATCTATGTTATCTCTATTTATACCGAAGTGACCTGAACACAAACGGGGTGAATAGTGAAAAAGCCATGGGGTCGAAATATATTTCATGTATATACAATAATTATATAATTTATTTAACAATAAATATATAAAGGACTTATAGGCAATTCATTTTTTTTAACTGGACTTTATTTACCAAACGGTGACTTTATAAAAAAAATGATGTCCATGATACTGTTCATATTTATAAGCGACGGTTACCATTTAATTATTGTAAAAATATTTAAATATGAGTAGAAGTTTTTCGGACAGAGGTTAACACGGAAATGTCTTAAAAATTTTACTAAAAGAGATGTTAATGAGAGATTAAAAGCAAGTCAGTTCATCCATTATGAATATTTCATCAAGATTAGCCATGATTAACAAATTATTTTACGGAGACACGACATAACGTTTGACTAAAACATCATATATAAAGTGATAACTCAGTCCCAATATAAATTTTACCATTCCCATTATCTTCCTAGCCATTCTTATTTACAAAAAATGGCGTCCCTATTCAGACTTACAGTTCTATTCTAGTTCCAGTTCTATTTACACATCTATTATGTTTATTAACTCCATAATTATTAATGAGGATATTTAAATATTTTAATTTTATACTGAAAGAAAACAATTAGTTTAACAATTTATTAGCAAGAGTTGTCTTATCTCCGAAACAAATCTCGTCCAGCCAACCCAGAGTAGAATTAAATATTTTAATAATGAAACTCCTCATAAACACAAAATTAATCTTACCGTAAGCTTGGAAACTAAAAAATGACCAAGTAAAACGATCCATTTTTTTTAATGGATGACAATGTAATGGTAACCCCATCTGCGCTAACAGCAACAGTATACGCTGGCATGTAGTGATGGGACTCGAGTGATTTTTTTTCACTCGAGTCACTCGGTAATGATAAGTTACTCACTCGAATGCCACTCGAGTGAAGATAAAACTCGAGTGATTTTTATTCACTCGAGTCACTCGGAATATAAAACTCGAGTGACCAAAATTTTAAAACGAATAAAACAGTATTAATATTACATAGAAAATGTGTATTCATTCTCATAAAAAAAAATCTAAACAAAATGTAAAAAATAGATTTTTCCTTCAAACTAAACCTGTCATACATAATCAAGAAACCTCTTGTATCAACTATCAGTCAAATTAAAATATTGTAATCTACTACTAATAAGTTCTAATCCAATTTAATTTATTCTAACAAGGAACTTTCATGAGATCCAAATATGAACAGTTTTATTATGTTCTTAACATTTATATAATAACAACAATTTATGTAATAAAATACGTGTTTTAAAATTAACTTAAATGAAACTTAAATAAACTCAACAATAAAAAAAAAAACCGAAATAATGTATTTTTAACGAGATAACAAATTTAATTGAGATTGGTGTAATAGTTCTATTTTTATAAGTTCTATTTTTAAAAGTAACATTAATAAAACCTCAACAATAAGTATTGTAATAGTTAGGTATGCTTTATTATTGTCAGAAGTCCATAAATCTGTTGTAGCAGCCGTATATTCAATTAAATGTAGAATATCTACAATTATAGTGCATGCGGCATGATAAGCATCAGGAAAAATTTTCTCTCTTAAAAGTTTCCTGCTACCGCGGGTAAACTTGTCACAATTTGAATTTCTCACTCGGCTCTGTATAAACCACTCGAGTGGTACGAGTCACTCGTAATTCGAGTCGATTCGAGTCACTCGAAACTCGAGTCGTCAAAAATTTAACTCAAGTGCAAGTAATATAAAAACTACTCGAGTCACTCGAGTGAAAAGCAACTCGAATCCCATCACTACTGGCATGCCACTAGTGAAAATGATATGTGACGATGAAAGCAGGTCAGTTAGCCCATCGTGAGGAATTTCCCGAATTCATAAAACATATAATTAACGACGATGGTTTCCAGGGGAAACCGTATAGAGGTCGACTTGATAGGGTGTATGGCTAACAGTGTGCTAGTAAAGTCCTATTACTAACAACCCTTTTTCCTACAGACGATCTATTTAGAAAATATTCAATCTATTAAACTTCATATTATTTTGGTGTAAAAGAATTAACATTAAATATTCAATAATTGGATAAAACAGCTAGTAGTCGTATATGAAGTTAATATTATTTATTTATTCTACTCCAAACTTTATTCCCTTTGTTCTTATTTATAATTTAACTACTATTCTCCTTATTTTACGGCAGCTGACAGTGAAAAGTATTAAAATGACAGCTGTTATAGTGCTGTCATTAGGTGACAATAAAGGTAATGGGAAGATTGCTTTGCGTTTACCTTTGGGACAAATAGTACAAAAAATATATATTTAGATAAGTACCTAAAAAGTTACCATAAAACGGGGTTAATAGAAATCACAGAGTAAATAGAAAAATCTGGAAAAAAAATTGGTCTTTTTCTGTTTTAGTCTTCTTATGGTACTGACACAGAAATATAATTGAATAATAAACGCATCCAACGTACCTATCAAATTAAATAATTAACAATCACGAACGTACCTATATTTCATATTTTAAAGTTGGCTGCCATGATTAGAAAGCGCGGTAATTTGTGGATATGATAGATAAGTACCTAAAAAGATTTTCTCCACAGACTATTTAGATAATATGCATTTCCGTTATTTTGATTATATCAGGACGACAATAATAATTAAAGTAAATTCTGTTTAATAAAATTTCAACATAAATTTAAGGTTTTTGGCATAAAGGAAATTGTGTGTAATATTTTATTATTTTAAACATTTTTAAGGGTAAAAAATACACTATTATTTTTATTTGCTACCATAAACATAGTATAGTACAATTTAGAATACCATTCTTCTAACTTATTACAATAGAAAAAATATCCATTTAGAACAAAAAATAATGAAGGAAATGATTCTTTACAATTGCCAACATTACAATAGTCGAAAAGTGCTCGATATTTGTATTAATTTTTATTCTTAATATGTTTTATATTAAACAGTTAATAACTATTAACGAAAGATCATTAGTGCTGCCTCTGTTGAATGATTTAGGAATTAAAATGACTACATAGCGATTTCTTAATCGCTATAATAGATTGTTTAATAATACATAGCTAGCAATTTTTTTTATCTTATAAGCTATTAACAATAAAATACTTTTAATCTTTTATGAGGCACTTTCAGTACACACAAAAAATCTGTGGCGGCAATAGATGTAACTTTTTACGTATTGTATTATCTATGGATTGGATGCATTTAATAAAGAGATTGATCGTCTATAAAGCCAATGAGTATTTACATTTTGTTAGAATTTAAGTAGTGATATTTCTGATACATACCTACTTAATAACAAAATCAAATTTTTTTTTTTTTTTTTTTTTTTTTTTCTTCTTTTGTGGCGTTCACCCCGATATTAGGGTATTTTGCCAAGAACAAAACGGGGAAACGATAATAGTAATAAAAATACCTAACACAAACGAATTTAAAAAGGATAAGGATTAGGTCTAGGATATTTATAGGATATGAAGGATATACTTGTACATATGAGAATATACTTATAAATATATAGGAGATGCAATTATAATTAATGCAACTATAAATGTATTCATGTAATATAACTAAATCTTAATATTGTTATCATATATATATGAAGATAGTATTTTATAGATAATAGGATCATTGGAAGAAAGTAGAGTAAGAATAGAAGTTGGGAATGGAACACGGATGGATCGGAGATGATTAAAAAGGGAGGTGTGGTCAAATTTAGAACATGAGAAGAATATATGATTCAAGTCCGCCACTTCAGCACCGCAATTACACGACGAACTTTGTACAATACCAAGCTTATATAAATGAGAAGGTGTGCATACGTGACCTAGACGCATACGAGTTATAATAGTTGTTGCGGTCTTTCCAAGCTTTAATTTACAAAACCATGGTTTGAAAGGAATATCGGGTTGTATAAGGCGATAAAATCTTCCTTTTATTGTACTTGTTTTTTCCCAATATTCCTTCCAGGCATACCTTAAATATATTTTTGGGAGACAAGCTAGGTCACTACAGTAATTATGATACGGATACATATCACCACAAGTTACAGCCTCTCTTGCAATAAGGTCAGCTTTGTCATTGCCGCTAATACCACTGTGTCCTGGTAACCAGGCAAAAGAAACGGAATACCCTCTCAACATGCA